AGCAATTTTTGTCTTTATTTCTCTTCTCAAAAGCAAGCTGCAGCTCTTCCCTTTTTCCCAGACTGATCTAGGAAAGCTGTCCCACGGCAGCTTTGCCACCTGACCTGGTGTGTGTTTCCCAAATCCCATTTGGTTGGGTGCTGGCACAGTGGCTTTGTTTGCAGGGCAGTGTGTGCCTGACAGTAGAAACACCTTATTTCTATGGTTTTTCCATCTGTGCTAACAATTTGACTTGAATTTTCCTTTACCTTTCCCACTTAGGTACATTATCCGGGGGGATGATGAGGAGTGGAACGAGGTGCTGAGCAAGGCAGGACAGAACGCTTCCGTCGTCAGCTTGAAAAGGTAAAGGAAGTTGAAATATTCCAGAGATCTCTCCTCTTCCTGCTGGCTTTGTTGAAATGTTTTCCAAAAGAGTGAAGTCTAAGGGTTAAATGCAGGTTAAGTGACCTCAGTGACCTGCCTCCATCCTCAGTTTTCCTGGCAGAATTGGGATGTGGGCAGCTGCAAGCTCCACTTCCTGGTCTTTCTGTGTTGCTCTAAGGATAGTCCTCTCTTCCTTAACTTGTTTAATTCTGACTTTATTGCTGATGATCTGATCCTGATCCACACAGAAGCTGAGACTATTCCGCCCTTGGGTCACTCATTCCACCTGACTGCCCCTTTTGCTTTGGGATCTAACACTCAGTGGGAGCCCCTGGAGGTGCCAGTGGAGAAAATGCAAATTCAGGAAAGAATTCTTTTAAAAGTGAGCTTGAGCCTGGAAAATGTCTGTGTTTCTGCAATTCCTTAGTTCTCATCCATCTTCTTTCTTCCTGCCCAGCATGTAATTTTCCCATATTTTTCCTTGGGGATTTATAGCTGGGACTTCCTTGCTCACTTATTTCCCCTTCTTGGAGTGCCTGACAGCTCAAGTAATTTTGTGATCTCTGTTCCACCCTTTCATGGTTTTTTCCATGAATGCTGGAAGGTGTAAGTTTCCAAAAGCCTTCCAGGAAGGAGAGAGTCTTAGCAGTTACTTATAAAGATCAGAGCTTGGAATTCTTGTTGTGTTTGCTTGAGTCAGAATCCAGTGACAAAACTGAAGGGACAAACTTGAATGTTTAAAATGATCCATTGTAGTTTCTCTTCTAGGTACTCTGAAATCCATGTGCCCCATTTAGGACAGATAAAGTTTTGAAAAGCAATGACAAGAGCTAAAAATCAAGAGCTTCTGGGTTAGAGAATCTCAGGACACTATAAAATCTAAGGCTCTTGTTTGTGCTTTTTCTAGCACCACATTTAAATTTTCTCCCTCACTCCCATATTACAACAAAAATTTCCATGCTAGGTAGCAAGCCAGTATATTTTTAACAGATGTTTTGTTCCTGTTTTCCAGTGAGAAGAAAAGAAAACTAGAAACAGCACGTGGACCCAAGCAACAGAAGAAATTTAAGAAGACTAAAGATCTAAAACAGAAGAGGAAGAAATGACTTAAAAGCCAATCAATGAACTTGAATGAACAAGTGCTGGGTCTGTACTTAAGAAGCCCTGTTCTCCTCTAAAGTAAGGGAAGAAAAATCCTTAGAGGCATTTTTCAAGTGTTTGTATTGTGGGAAGAGCAGTGTTCCAGTGTTTGTGTGAAGATTTTTATATGAAGGGTGACTGCAGAGTGTGAGTGAGGCACTGGAATGCACTGGGATGTGATGAAGGTGCTTGAGCAGCTCCAACATTCCCATTCCAAGAGGGCAGAGCTGTAAACTTCCTGCATCTTAATGGTTCTGTGGCTTATTAAACAAGAATTGGGACAACAAAGGACAGAAGTATGACTCACCTTGATCTCTGCAGCTGCTGGTTCTGGTGGTCCTTTGGAGCTTGAGGCTTTTATGTACTTGGTATTTGTGGCTGGCTGTCGCTGCACACTCACTGTGCCTCGCTGCTGGCCTAGAGCTGCCCCTTGGCCCTGCTGCAAAGTTTTGTGTTCAGGTTGCCAGAAATCAGCACTGTTGTACCAAAACCTGGTTATGTGACCCCCTCTTTGACCTCAGGGGCCGGCTGAGCAGCCAAGCACTGAATTCCCAGCAGCTTGGCAAGAACTGCCAGTCTGGAGCTGGGACTGGGTCTCAGACTCCAGAGGCTTCAAACCCTGTGCAAACCTTTGGCACAGGGAGTCCCAGTCCCAGTCCTGAGAGCCCTGGAGCATTGCCTCAATATCCTTTTGGCTTTTTGCTGTGGGGGTTTGGAACAGAGCCCTCCCTGCAGCTGGGGCACAGCTGTGTTGTATTTACCTGCAGATCTCACAGCTCCTTTTCCTGGCAAATCCCAAGGTAAAGACAGCTTTTCTTCTCCAGGAGGCTGATTTTAATTGAACACAGGCTCTGCACCACGCAGCCTGTGCCTGCCTGTGGTTTGGAAGCCTCTGTGGTGTGCCACCACCGTTGGTGGCAGTGACACATCCCTGAGCAGGGACATCTGCAGCCCTCAAAGAGGGGCTGGGGTCACCCAGCAGCACTGCCAGGGCTGTGGTGGCCACTGGCTGCCCTGAACTGGCTCCAAAGGTCTTGGAAAAGGAGCAGACGTGGAAGGGAAGGAGTGTGAGGCTCTGGAGAGCTGTGCCCAGGAAGTGCACAGGAGAAGAGGTGAGTGTGAATTCTCCCTGGTTTTGATGTTATTGTTCAAAATATGGTGTGCACCCTGAGGTGGTCTGTCCTCTTGTTTGTTCCTTGGAGCCTGTTGGAGTGCTGGCTGGATTTGGGAGGAGCCAAGTGTCCTGGAGCTGTGAGGCTTTTCCTGTCAGAAATCCATGGTGGGGATGTTTTCCCTGGCTCTCCCAAGTGGAAGGAACAGCTTTGGAGTCGTTGCAGCCACAGGCTGGGGATGCATCCCCTAAAAACCAGTTCAGGATTGTTCTTCTGCCTCTGCTTCTGACCTGTGACTTCCAGGGACCCTCCTGTAGTTCTGGATATTCCAGTGCTGCTTTTTAAAGAAGGAATTTCCAAACACAGTAAGTCGTTCAATCTGAGCTGTCCCAGTGGTGGGTTGTGAGGGGTGGGGGGTGGTAGCTAAGATATTCCCAGCTGGAATTGGGGCCATGCACTTCAGACACCTTTAAGTGGGCACTAAAGGGCTGGTCCCAGTGCTCCAAGCCCTGTCATGGAGGTGAGCAGGGGGCAAGGGGTAAATTACAAAAAAAAAAAAATTTAAAAAGGGCAGGGAATGATTTTGAATTCCTGGCCTTCCTTTTACGACAGCAGTTGGTTATTTTGGTACCCAAGCTTAAAAAACCTGGAGTGTGTGATTGTTCCCAAGTGTCACACATCCAGACTAGGCTCTGATGGGGTGGTTTTAGTAGAACCATGGAAGGGACCTTAAAGTTTATCCCATTCCAACCCCCAGCCAGGGGCAGGGACACCTTCCAGGTTGCTCTAAGCCCTGTCCAACCTGGCCTGGGGCACTTCCAGGGATGGGGCAGCCAAAGGTGGGTAACAGGTACCAGCTGGTATGTCTGACTCCATTTCCCTTCCCAGCTGGCAGCAATGAGTGGGAACACTGCACCAAAACCTGTTGGAATTCCAGCTTCCAGCTCTGCATGGAGCACTACATCCAGATGTGAACACTCGGCAGAACAATTTTGCCATGGACCAAGGGAAGCCTCAGGACTTGTCTTGCTCGTTTCTCCCTGGAAAGAGACATGGCACGAGCACCTTTGCAGCTATTGGAGAAATCCTGGAAAGGGCAGGAAATCAGGGTGCTTAGAAGAGTTCTGTGCTGTCACACAGCTGTTCACCTGTGTTGCTCCATGGTCCAGTGCCAGCCGTGGAGCTCTGCCCTATAGATGTTCCAAGGGCTGGTGTTTAAAGCAGCATTAGCATAAAAGGAGCTGCACTGGTATAGGAATTACCTTGCTGGTACTTCCATCCCAGCCTGGAATTCTGGATGACACAGAGATCAGCTCAGTTGTTTTGGGCAGGAACACCAAAGGTGGTTTCAGTCACTGGATGGGCCGTTTACTTAGAGCTCACCTCCACGATCCTTGTGCATCCCTTCTGTCTCGCGATATCCTGTGATCTGGAAACACAGATTAAACGTTTCACCTAGAATTTCACAAATGGAGATTTTGCCACTGGAGACTGCGAGTTGCACAGATCTCGGGAGAAGAGGAAGGAAAGCACCAGGTCTCACCGGGCAGGTGCTGAAAGCGCAGCTGGAGCAGGACAGCGCCTGTCCTGGAGCAGATCCTCCTGCCCGCGGCTCTGCAGCTCCGCTCGTTTCCCAGGGATGCGGCGGGCACAGGACGGGAGGCGGGCCCTGCTCTGCTCAGGGGTGCCGGGGCAGAGCCGGGCTCCGCGTCCCCGCGGGGTTGCCAGGCCGGTCCGACCCAGCGGGACCAGCGGCCTCGGGCGGTCCCGGGGCCGGCTCGGGGGGCCCCGCGCCCCGCCCGCTTCCAGCCGCGATCCAGCGCCTGCTCCGGGAAAGCGCCGCGCTCCGGCCGGGCCCGGCATCAGCGCAGCCCCGGCTCCCCGAGGCCGCGGCGGGACCTGCCCGGAGCCGCAGCGGGACCGCAGCCCCGCGGTCCGAGCGGGAGCGGCAGCGCCGGGCTCGGTCCGCGCCCGTCCCGGAGCGGCTCTTCCCGCTCACGGTGATCCCGATCCCAGCCCCAATCCCGCCTCGGTCCTGCGGCCCCGCGACCCGCAGCCCGCCCGGCGAGGGAGAAGCGGCTCAGCCCGGGATCCCCGGCAGACGCCGGCAGGACCCGGACCCGAATGGGGGGGGAAAGGAAGCGCGGAGGAAGGAGGAGGAGAAGGAGGCGGAGGGTACAGGGGTAGGGTTGGGGTGTGCAGGGGGATAGGAAGGGTAGGGGGGACCTGGGATGGGGAAGAGACCAGAGACAAAAACCCAGCTCAGAACAGTTTAATAATGGAAACCAGTCCAATACAATCATTTAATATTAATGACAACTCATAATATCAGTGACAGCAACAAGAGCAGTGAGCACAGTAATGAACAGGGGAGAGAAAAGCCCCGGATGATTCCACCATCTCTCCCTGCATTAATTTTGCATTGTTTCCTCTCAAATTTAAATTCCCAAATTTAGATGACTTATTCAATGAACCATTTAAAAATTATTCAGATATATAAGAGGGAGCATCCAGCATACAAGAATCATTCTTTCATCCATCAAATCATTATTATATTGGAAGCTTATTCCCTCATCTCTGTCCTTGTTTAGCTTTCCTGGAAATCCTTAGGATCCCACCGTTTATCAGAGACATCAGCTGGGATTACTGGAAGATTTGCTCGGGAGAGCCAAGGGGAGATTACAACACTTGTTCCTCTGCATCTTTGTCCCCTAACCAGGTTTCCCCCAGAACAGTGTTGTGGGAGAAGTTTGGAATTACTATAAATGGATCAGCTTCACAGTTTTTCTCCTCTGTTTTTCAACTATTTCAAAATTCTTGGAATTACTCTCAAATACACCCAAGAAATTTGCTGTGAAAACACCAATCAGAGGAACATCCTAAATAGAGAAAACCGCCTCCAGCAGCATCCGGAATGACCCCACTGCTGTTCTTACCTGCTCTCCAGGTGCTCCTGCCAGAGCTCCCCACAGCCACTGCCATTCCTCAGCAGGAGCTATGGAAGACATTCCTGCTGTCCATGAGGGTGAGGAGGCAGTTTGGGATGTTCTTTGCTGTGCAATCAGACAAGAGTGTCAATGACCTTGTGGTCCCCTCCAAGCCAGAGCAGCCCCTGATTCCATGGTGCAATCAGCACCTCTCCCAGCTCCATTCCAGAAACATCCTCACACTAACCCAGGACTTCCCCCCTCCTCTTTTTGCTCCACATCAGGGATGTGTGGCCGTTCTCTGGGGTTGCCATTCAAGGCTGAACTTGTGGCCTCAGACTCTGCAATGACTGCTCAGCCCCAATTCCAGTTGGGAATGTCTCAAGCAGCAGTGTGGGGAGTTTGCTCCCTCTCCCACCCAGCTTGGGACAGCTCACATGGAATGTCACTGACTTACTGGATCCGGAATTCCTGGCTCAAAAGGCAGGTGGTGGAATATGCTCACCTGGGAATATCCAGGATATCAGGAGTGTCCCTGGAAGGTCAGAGGCAGAGTCAGATGAACAATCCTGATCTGGTTTTCAGGGGATGCATCCCCAGCCTGTGGCTGCAACAACTCCAAATCTGTTCCTTCCACTTGGGACAGCCAGGGAACACATCCCCACCATGGATTTCTGACAGGAAAAGCCTCACAGCTCCAGGATACTTGGCTCCTCCCAAATCCAGGCAGCGCTCCAACAGGCTCTAAGGAATAAACAACAGGAAAGACCATCTCAGGGTGCACATCATGAGCTGGGCACCACATTCCTCACTGCAACCAGGCTGTTCCCACATCTCTGTGACAGTTGGGAGCATCCCCATTTCCTCATTCCTCCATTCAGGAGAAAGAGACATCAGAGCCTTTAAACACCCAGTCTGCAATCCCAACAATCCAGGGAAAACCACCTGACTCAGGGAAGAAATGTAATGCCCAGTTTTGGAAAAAAAACAAATAGCAGGACTGGAAACATTTCCAGGCATGGAGCCTCCCAGGTGTGAGAATGCAGCTCCCAGGCTTCTTCCCATGGAAGCCCCAAACTTGCCCAGCACTGGGCTCAGGGAGAAAACCCCACCAATTCCACCAGCCTGGCACAGAGCAGATTCCAGGCACACTCTAGGAGGATGTCACTGACCATGGCAGGGCAAGAAAACAGGATGATCTATAAGGTTCCTTCCAACCCAGACCATTCCAGGAGTTTAAGGCTACTTAAACTTGATTTGAGCCACTTCCTAGCTCACAACTCCTTCCCAAGCCTCATCCTCTGGGCTGCCTTTCCCAGACCTCGCTGGGAAGGGAAGCAGTGGCTCCCCTCCCCAGACACACCCACTGCCAGTGGCAGTGCCCTGCCCAGGGGCTGATCCACTGTCTTGGCTGTTTTCCATAATCCAGCATTCAGGGACTCCAGAGTCAGACAATCAGGATCAATCCCAGGTTCCAGGCACTGGCACAAAGCAGCTGCTGTGCTGGAAGGGCCAATTTCAGAGGCTCCTCTCCCCTCAGCTGGGAATTCAGTGCTGCAAAGGGCCTGGCAGTGATTGTGGGTTTAATTGTTCCTATGGATTCATCTGGGGCATCTCCCCCCAGAAAACAGCTGTGCCCACTCCGGAGGGTCCTCAGTGGGGTCCCTGCCCAGCTTCTCAGGATGGATGGGAAGCTGCTACTGACAGGCTGGATTTCAGGAGAACTTCAGTAATTTGCTAAAGCTTCTAAAACAGGGACTTGTTTCCAAGTCTAAGGCAGCTCAAATCCTACTCCTAATAAAGTGCTGCAAAAATGTGTCTATGTAGGGGAATGTTCTTTTAACTTGATTTCAGGGAAGAGTTGCCTGGGATTTTAGTTATAATTTAGATCAGTCTGTGACAAATCAGACAGAGAAAAAACTACACAGAAGCTCAAGGTTGACTAAGCATGAAGAAAAAAACCCACAAGAGCTCAATTCCTGCACAGCCCAGACCTGACACTTTGGCTCATATGGGAAATAGATGGGAAGTGCAGAACCAAGTTCAGTCCTACCTTTAAGCAATCCCCAAGGAGCTGAGAGCCCTCCAATGAAACCCTGGCTCAGGACAAGCCTCTCCTGCCTGTGCCATTGATCCAGGTGAGCACAGGTGCTCCAGCTGGGAGTGACAGTTCCTTGGAAGGCAGCACCTCCCACCTGGACTTGTGCCTTGCCCAGCCTTTGGTGGCTGCTCTCTCCATCCTCCCACACCTCATCTTCCTCCTCGGCAGGGCTGCCTTCCTCATCCTGCAGAGCAAGCACAGGGACAGTCACCAGCCTGCTCATCCCCAGCTGGGCAGCAGGGACGGACTGGTGGCACCCTCTGGATGTCACCCCTCTGCCCGGCACCGTCCCTGCTCCGCGGCCCATTCCCGTTCCCGGCCGGGCATCTCCTTGGAACGGGATGTTAAACCACAAACGTTTGCTCTGGGGGCTGGGACAGCACAGACTCCCCCGAGGCAGTGGGCAAAGCTCCTGCTCCCACATCCTCTGCTCCCACAGCCCTGCTGGGGCTGGACAGAGCAAAGGGAATCCTCAGCTCCTGCTGGAACTTTCCTCCTGCACCCACAAACCCAGAGAAACCGTGGCTGCTCCATCCCTGGAAGTGCCCAAGGCCAGGCTGGATGGGGCTTGGGGCACCCTGGAATAGTGGAAGGTGTCCCTGGACTGAACTCAGCAGTTCCTGGATTTTCCTGTAGCTGTGCTCATATTGCTGTGGCCTGAACATTTTGAACACTGACCAGCTCCTGCCCAAATATCAAAACTAAGCATTTTCAGTCACATTCCATTTATTCCCCTTTCCCATTGTTATTTATGTGACATTCATTATTGTTGCAGTGATAGAAATAAATACGAATGGATGGAAATTTGAGAAACAAAGGACAAAAAAAATGGCTTTTGTGGCACATTTTTCTTGAGAAATCAATTGTATTTTTGAAACAGGACTTCAATTTCAATGGGAGCAAGAGATAAATCCATTAGGAGGGGGATAAGAGATAAATCCTCCACTTGGAGGGCGCATTGGTCTGACCCAGCTGGGCGGGTACAGAAAGAGACCCCGGGAGTCCGAGCAGTGAGGGTGGTGCAAGGACCGGCACAGGATCCGAGCCAAATCCCACCTACGGCAAATCCCCAGGGAATTCCTTCAGGGAAACACGAGTGCCTCCAGATCCTGACACCTCTGCACAGCTAAGGAAAACTCAGGACCGTCCGAAGCTGTGTCATCCCAAACTGTGCTCCCTCCGGAAAACCAGACAATGAAAGCACCTGGGGAGCACTGGCAAGGAAAGCTGCTGGAACCGCTCCGATTTCACACGTGGATTTTACAATCCATTTTATTCCGCCTGGGACTTTCCCCACCTTCACTACCTGTCACCTCAGAACACTCATTCTCTCCCCCGCACATTAACTCACATTTTACTCCAAAATGTTCATTTTGCGCCCTACAGAAACCGCCCCGGAGCGACGCCCCAGTCCCCCCATGGCTGAGGCGGCTCCGGTGCCCGCAGCTCCCGGGCCATGCCTGTTCCCCGCTCGGGGCTGTCCCCGTTCCCCTCTCGGAGCTGTCACCTTTCCCCTCTCGGGGCTGTCCCCTTTCCCCTCTCGGAGCTGTCCCCTTTCCCCGCTCGGGGCTGTCCCCGGTCCCCTCTCGGGGCTGTCCCCGGTCCCCGCTCACCTCCGAGCCCGGCGCAGCACTCCCCGGTGCCCCCGGCCCGGCGTTCTGGCATTTTTTGGGCTGTAGCCTCCCTTGGGTTTTAGGAGGACCTCTCCTGACCCCCCCCATCCCTCACTCACCTAGCTCCCCCTCCACAGACCTCGGCGTGTCCCAAGGACACCATCACCCCCCGAATCCCCCATCTCCCTTTTTTTCCTCTCCCAGAGAAGGCACAAAATGAGTCCAAGTGCCTTGACCAGCAGCTTGGTGCTTCCATAAAAGCCCTTTCCACATGGACATTCCCTCAAAAAAGGGGGGAAGATCACGGGAGGTCAGGGCAGCTCCCTGAAGGGTTGGAATCTCCACAGCTCCTGTCCTGCAGCACAGGGAGTGTCCCTGAGGATGGGACACCTCCGACCCCGGCTCTGCTCTGCCACATTCCCCCTCAGTTCCTGCACTCCAGACAATGCCAGGAGATGTCTCCTCCCTTCCCTGCAGCGCTGCTGCAGGGACACCATGGCACCAATGGCCTGGAAGATGAATCTGGACTCGACCCTAGGATCCTGAGGGTCTGATATCCAACCTCTCTTCCTGAGGGTCCAAAATCTAACACCCCTCACCACAGCAGGGTTGTGCTCTCCTTGCAGCTGACCAGCAGCCACGGATGGACCAGGCCGTGAGGATCCGACATTTTGCTTTCCTCACGGCGTTCCTCAAGTCGGCATTTATGAGGCCGTAGAGGAACCGGCTTGGCATGGGGACGTGATGGAATACCCCAGGGAGATGAGCTTGTCCTGCTCCAGGGAGCAGCTGGAGACGGGCGCAGGTACGTGAGGGTGGAGCTGCCGTGGGACAGAGCGACGGAGGCCAGGTGGGAGGCGCAGGTGGATGAGGCCTCATCCGCAGGACGGCAGCCAGGATGGACAGGGAGGACACCAGGATGAACCTGGATCCGCCGTGGTGCTCAGCACGTTGAGCCCCACCACGGCGGCCACCAAGGCCTCGCTGGCGCGGCTGTCGGAGCAGGACAGGGCCAGCAGCGGGGCAAACAAAGCGCTCAGTGGCCCAGGAGTGACAGAATGGGACGTGGAACATGGAAATATGGTGTGGAGAGTGAGCTGAGCACTCCGGCCAACATCCCAAAGCAAATCCTCTGGCACGTGAGCACGGAGTAGAGCCGGGGCCTGCAGGTGGCCGTGTAGCTGCCGTAGGCCATGGCGGCCGGCACGTGGCACTCGGTGGTGGCCCAGGTGGCCAGGAGAAGAGCTGGGTGATGCATCTCATGAAGGAAATCACCTTCTTCTCTGCCAAAAAATCCCTCGGGCTCCGGGGGATGATGCGCAGGAGCAGCAGATGTCCAGCAGGGACAAGTGGCTCATGAAGAAGTACACAGGGGTGCGGAGGCGCAGATCGACACGATGACTCCCAGACTTCCTAGGAGAGTGACCAAAAAACATCACCTGCAGATCTGCTTGGGTGATCAGGAAGAAGTACACAGGGGTGTGGAGGCGCGGATCGACACGATGACTCCCAGACTTCCTAGGAGAGTGACCACGCAGAGGGCAAGGAACAAGACAAAAAACATCACCTGCAAATCTGCTTGGGTGGTGAAGCCCAGGAAAATAACTTCAGATGCAAACATCTCATTTTCTCCAGCTATACTGAACGCTTTATATGTGCAGTTCAGCTGCTTTCTGTCTTTAGACTGAAGTGGTTAATTCACATAAATCCATTGATAATTATAAGAATGTTAATTTTTGTCAAGTAGTTACAGAACTTTCAGTCAATAAAAGGTAAATTCTGCTTGAAAGAGAAAAAAACACAAGTTCCTGGCACCAGTATCCCTGTTCAGCCAATGTATTTAGAAGCAGGGGCATATTTAAGCCATTAAGAAGGGAAATACCGTATCAAAATAAATAAATCATAAATAAGTTGCAAGGCTTCCTCCTAGTTCTTCTCAATCCACTTACACATGGAATTCCATTATTTTCTTGGTAATTCCTGGGAAAATGAAATTATTTCTTATCTTTTGACCATTCCCTATCCAGCCTGAGCACTTGAGGAATAAATATCTGCTCCCTGTTTGCCAGGAAGAGATTTTCTAGGTGAAAGCATTGGAAAATGGGACTTCCCTTAGTGTATTTTCTCCTGGTGTAGGAATAAGAGCTGGGATTTGTCTTACCTCACTTTGCTTTAGATGTGATGCTTGATTTGGAGGTAAAAGGTAAATTCATGTTCCACCTTGCTGTTCACCAGGGAGAGATCAGCAGCTCCTAAAACCCCACTCTACAACAGACAGAATAAAAAAAGATGGATTTTTCTCCTGGATAACTATGGCCTGACAGAGTTGCACCAGAGAGTAAACCAAGAGTAGGCACTGCTGACTCCTGACAAATGGATCCAAACCTGGAAATCCTCATTATTGCTTGAGCCTTGGGTGAAGGGCTGAGTTCAGCCCCAGAACCCGACGTCCCTTTCAGGTGTTCCATGGTGTCCTGGAGTTACTTTGGAGGATTTAGAGCTGCTTTTCATTATCCTCATGAAGATGACAGAGGTGTTAAAAATAAGGAAAACCAAACATTTTTGGGGCTGAATTGCCCCCCAGAGACAGAATCCACCTGCTGCCATCAGAGAATTTACCTCCATTTCTTGCTTAACTAAAGTCCAGCCTCACTTTTTCTTACTTAGCCAACCAACTTTACTTTGTGTGATGGATTGGACACCTGGAATGGAAATAAATTCAGTTAAAATCCATGGGTTATATTTTATTCCTGCTGAGAAGCAGGTGGTTGGTGTGGAATAATTAATGGAGTGTTCACCCTGTCCTCCTGTGGTGAGGATCTCCATTGTGGCACCCAAATTCCATAAAATCTTTGGGCAAAGCAGTAGAAGAGCTTCCCATGAGCTGCCCTAGGATTCACCAAGATTACCCCATCCAACCTGGCCCTAAACACTTCCAGGCATGGGGCAGCCATGGCTTTTCTGGGAGATCCAATACAGGGACTCACCACCCTCTCAGGGAAGGATTTATTCCCAATATTCCATCTAACTCCACCTGAAGGATTCAGACAGCCTGAGGTATCAGCTGAAAATTGTCCTAAGACAAAAAATAAAGTGCAGTTTAAAGCAGTTTCCAAATGTGAGAACTTCAAACACCCAATATTTTCAACAGGCTCAGGAGCTGACGCTTGGAAAATAAATTATCCATGCGGGATCAGGCACACAGTGCCATTGTTTTATTTATTGTCTACTTCTCAGTTTCCTGAGCAAGAACAAGGCACTTGGCTGCCCAAGGTTTACAGGAAAAAAAGGAGGTTTTATGTAAAATAAAAAGGAGATCATGTTCCCAGCAATGTCCAACAGATAGTGGTGACATACAGGAAATACTGATGGATATTTTTTAACCTTTTTCCCCTTCCAGTTCTCCATTTCATACCTTAAAAGGATTTTTGTGGCTCTTTAACATCCCTCAGGATTGACAATGGAGCACCATGGTGCACCAAAGGAGCAAAAATAAATTGTTCATGTAAAACCAGGAATTGAATTAATTTGGAAGTAGATGAAATTCAACTTTTTACAAGGAAAGGATTTTTTCTGACAACAAAAATCAGGTTGATTTGTCATCCTTGCAAGCACCAAGTTTTCATCCCGAATGTGGAAAAAATGAGGGAGCTGCAATTTTGGTCAGGACTTATTTCTTGCCTAAAAATTGGACTTTTAAAATAATTATCACCCTTCATCTTTTAATTTCAGGTTTTCAGTTTTTTTCTTGCTTAGCTTTGTTATTATTCCCTTCTCCCCATTGCCAAAGGGCAAATCTCTGGATACAAACTCCACTGATAATATTCCTGACTTTGTTTTTGGCAAACCACCAGGGGCATAAAGAGGAAAACTAATTAGAGCTTTGTTTGAAGGCTTTGAAAGGCAGAAATTGGGGGTGGAAAAAGGACAGGGCAAAGGTGACTGGTTCAACTGAACCTGGAAATTTACCCAGTTTTCAAATATGAAGCTATTTATTAATTAATTCATTGACTTGACTTACGGGCGATATCTCATTATCTCCAAACTGTGTTAAAATTGCAAATTAATCCATTTAGAATGTTGTCCTTCCATCTTTCCCAGAACGGGCTTTTCATGGGAGCTGCCTCCCTGATCCAGCCCAGAAATCACAGAAGTCTTGAATGTGTCACGTGTTAACCTTTATACAGGGGATCCTGACACCTTTCACACGATTCTGGAATGGTTTGGGATGGGAGGGACCTGAAGGTTCATCCAGTTCCACCCTGCTGCCATGGGCAGGGCCACCTTCCACTAGCCCAGGGTTCTCCAAGCCCCATATCCATAAATACATATGGGTATAAATGGATAACTTGCCATCCTAGGGCCAGAGATCTCCTAGATGTCTGTCCTTTCTGATCCAAAATCATAAATATATATTAAAATACAATATCAAATGTACATTATCCCTTATGTTTATACATAAAATGCAAAACATTATTGGGTTAAATGTATGCACCAACACCTACATGTTACTGGATTTTCTTCTCCCTCACAAACCTCCATGAATCCCACTTCATTTCCAGCTGAAACCAAGGTATGGATGAGAGCCCTGGCATGAGGGAAGAAAAACAAAAGAGCCAGACAGAATTCCCTGTCCCTGATAACAAATCAGAATAAAAGGATTAAAGATAAAAATCCAATTCTTACCTCACCAGAGGAACATTGGGATCAGAAGGTTCATTGAGGAACCCTCTCCATCAGCAAAACATCCTTTAATAGAAAAATAATTTAATTTTTATAGTGGACATAACTTTACTTCAGGGTCATGTGGTGAGTTTGCTCCAGGTGTCCATTGCAAACAGCTCAGGCTGTCCTGGATGGATCCCTGGAGCAGCCAGCTGGGATTACAGGGGGTGAGGGCTGATCCAAGCCTCCAGGTAAGGAATGAGCCCAAAAGGCTTCCAGGCTACTCCTGGCCTAGCACTGGGAGGTCTGTACAGGACCCACCTGCCAGAACATGACCCAGAGTCCATTAAACCTTCTTATTCTGCTCCAGGTGTTCC